GATAAGCAGAGAAGGTTTTCTGACTGACTGCAGAATTAAACACACATCCTTCTTGCAGACTATAAAAACAGTGATTAAAAACTATAGCATATTTAGGAAGCCAAAAATAAGTTCACCACAGGTGACTCTGAGGAGTGTGGGTTGATTCTCACCCACTCTCTCTATATATATCGCACCCTCACCCAGACATATATTTGGTATGAAAAAATAAAAGTTCTGAGTTTGCCAAGAGACCTGGGTTCTAGTCTTGACTTTGTCTATTGTGACCTTTGATAAGCAAATGAACAGAGCATATATGTGGGAGTTTTGAATTTGGTTGGATTAATTCTTCTTGAATCTGCCCTTTGCTAGCTTTGCAATTTTGGGTTGTTATTCCAACTTTCTGTGCCTTACTTTTCTTAGATATAAATTGGGCTGTTTTGAGGGTGAATTAAATATTACAAATAAAACTCTTAAACTAGTGCTTGGAATATGGTAGGGGCTCAGTAAGTGTTAGCGAAGTGTTACCCTCTCCAGCAGAAAGTCTCCAGGTCCTGCAGTTTTGCAGCCCTTTCCTTCCTTCCTTCCTGCTCTGTCTCCTACTCCCTCTCCCTCCCCCTTTCCCCCTCCCTTATCCCTTCCCTGTCCCTAGCCCGGCATTGCTCCTTTGCTCCCTCTGCTGGCCGACAGCAGCAGGACCCAGCATTCCGGTTGCTATGGGTACCGAGGGAACGCGGTAACCAAGGAGACCAAGGCGGAAGCTCAGGGCAGCTAGCTGAGGCCTGCAGCTGTGCGGCATGTGGCTGAGGTTTCCAGGTGGGTGGGCAGGCGGCTGCAGGCGGAGGGCCTTGGGGTCTGGGGAGTAAGATAGGCTCAGGGCCTGGGCGGCGAGGGGACCTGGATGGGACCGTGGGAAAGGGGGTGGGCTCCGGTGGAGCTGAGGGTGCCGCGCGGGAAGGCTCCGGACATAGTGCCAGGCCCACGGGCCTCCGGAGTTGAAACTCTTCTTTAAGCAAAAGACTTCAGTTCGTGATGCTAATACTGGAGACCTGAGCCGAGCATGAACCCCAGACTGGAACCCGGGCCTTCAGCAATGGTACCCCTTACACAACCCAACCTTTTCAAATGCTAGCCTCTATGCTATTTTAAGTTATTTGAGCCTTAGGAAAAATTGGGTGCCTGGAAAACCATGATCACAGCCCCTTTCCGAGCCTCCTTTCTGCCTGGGCGACCAGGCGCACCCCCTTCATCGTAGAAGTCTCCCCAAGTACAGGTCGCAGAGAGGGATGCCAGATTGCTGATAACCTGAAGCTGTGAAACTTTTTAGCAGCCCACTCAAACACAAGTTATTATGTTAGGGATTCTGTATTACCAGGTTTTTTCTTTAGATTTTTTTAAAAAAGGATTAAAAATATATTTAGAATAAAGATATTGTAATATTTTTATGTAATAAAAATGTTACAAGTACAACTCTTTCAAGAGTTTAAAACTACTATTTTTATTTACATTTATTTTCATTTAACATTTCTTGCTTAGGTCTCTGGTTTTGTAAGTACATGGTAAACATGTTAATCCATCCACAAGAGCTTGCTTATTAGACCCTTTTAAAATATGTGTGAACATTTTTAAAAAATCCATATTTACTGGCTTTTAACCTTTCATGTTTAAGATGATCTGAGTCTTTAGAAAACTCAACTAACCTTAGATAAGTTTTCAGTTATAAAAAATGGCCCATCTTGAAAACAATGTTTTCCTAAACCTCTCATTCTGCCAGTGGTTACTTCTCTAGGAGCCTAAGGTAACTCTTGATGAATACTCTGAATTTCTAGGTTTATGTCATAATTTTCTTGTTTCTGTTCGCTGATAGCAGGCCTTGGTGCTTAGGTTGCATTCAGGAGGAGGATCACCAAACCATCATGGGCAATTTTGTGTCATATTGTTTGTATATGTGTGGGGAAGAACAGGATGGGAACAAAAACGATGCAGCCTAATAAATCAGGTAACTGGAAAAATTTCCAAACAACTACTAAACTTTTGGTATTTAATGATAAACCAAATAAACAAACAAACAAACAAATAAATAAATAAATAGAGACCAGAGGACAGGTGGAAGTTTGCATCGTAGGGATTTTGTCTGTATTTCCCTGGTTCCATTAGGCGACTAAACTTTTGTGCTTTGCTATTCTTCCTGATGACATTGTTATATCCTTGCTGTCCCAAGAAAGGTGACTAATTCTCTGTTGGTTTTAGAAAAGGAAACAGGCAGAACAGCATGACTAACAGTTGCAGTCTTTCTTCTTCATACCAGAAAATTGGCTTATGTGTATGACTCGATAAAACATTTAATTGAGAAGAAACTTTACTAATTGCATTCAGTGAAGTGAAATGCCCCCTGAATAAGGCCATTTATTGGTTAAATCACATTACCGGCACAGCTATAAATCTGAGTCATTTCATCCTAATGAAATTCACTAGCTTTTCTTTCATTCATTTTGGTTTTTGTGTATCAAATCAGCTTTAGACATATGTCCATATACATATAAATTGTATATCTCAATGCGTAAATAAAATTAGGACAATTTAAATTATTTTAATTAATTAGATATATTAACTTTATGGATTTTTAAAAAATGATAATGGTAATGATGACATTATATTACTTTTCCTGAAACACTTACCAACAGTAGACGATGGCCCAACCGTCGGTTATCTTGATTATAATAAAAAAAGGGATATACTGTAGACTCTTTTAGGAGCATGATTATTCCTGGAGGTTTTTATTAAAGGTGGGTTTTTTCACCTCTGTTTGATATAGATGAGACAAAGATTTTACCTACAAAGAAGATAAATACTTCCCAAAAGCAAACAAAATCCTAGGTTTCCATTTCTGTGGTAACTTCAGTTCTTTTTGACACTGATTTTAGCTTTGAGAGACAGAAGTTGGTTGAGATATTAATCTGAGTAGGACGTCCTTCCTAAGTACTTCTGTGAAAATCCCGTGGTATTGCTATTGCTTGTGCGCTTTCCCTTAGATTTGAGTTCTTTGAGGGAAGATACCATGTGTTATTTGCCATTGTGACTTCAGTACCAGTAACGGGGGTCACAAAGGAGCAGTTACATAAATGTTTGTTGATCAAAGGCAGAAAATATGTGTAGTCCTATGATGCAACCACTACATTGCTGCCAATATAAAATTATTTTGTGAAATTCCATTTTGTAATTATCATCAGAGAATAAATTCCTTCAGGATTTCCTCCAAGGTTGTCAAAATCGACCCTTTCCTGCTAGATTTGATTTTTGGAAGCAGAGTAATTCGAAACTAGATTTGAGTGAACAAAGTAGTTGCTTCTGCTGGACCACATCATTTTTAGTTTTAAACAAAGCACAACACAGATTTGTGTGTTTTCTGAGGGTATGATGGACTCTGCAGACAGCTCCAAAAGAGGCATGTTTTGATCAGTGGTTGTGCATTGAAATTATGAGTCTTCCTAAAGAGCAATGAAGAATAGTAATTTGATTGTGTAGACTTTGAAGTGACTATAGCCTTCCATTTGGTTATTCATATTCTGATTCCTTCTCTCTTAAAGTCTGAGTGAAGCTTCTAGGGTTATTTTCTGTTCTTCCCTCTCAAACTTTCAGTGACTCTTATTAGCTACAGAATAAATTCCAGAAGCTTTAAGTAGCATTTAAAGCCACCCGTTATTTGGCCTCAGCCTATATTACCAAACTTTTGCCTACTTTCCCCCCTTCATGTAACCTGTACATCAACCAAATGGAACCAGTCATTAGTCTCCATTCAAGAGCTGTACTTTCTTACCGTGTGGAATGTTCATAACAATCCATATCGTTATATATAAGCCCTGTTTCTCCTTAAAGCTGTAGTCTAAATCCTAGCCAGCTAGAATTCTCTCTTTTCTCTCACTTCTATTATTATATATGTAAGTTTTATGGCCCTTATAATTTCTACCTTGTTTTATGGCTTTTACATATAGGTCTTAAATACCATAATTGACTCTACACCATTTGAGCCCAAACAACAAATATCCTTGGGCCTTGACTCCTTCGTCCCTCTAGCACAGTACCTTGCATATAGCAGAGCCTTATTAAGTGTTTCTAGGGGCAATGAGCACATAGGAACACATATATAAAGTGATAATAATAAGTGGCCTGGTCATTTAGGAGTAAGGACTCTATAATATTGACTCATATTTCTTTAAGAGTGTTTTGAATTTGGAAATTTTTATTCATGTAAAAAACTAATAGTTTTGCATGTGGTTCAGTAATTCAGCATTATGGAGTAAATTATTATAGGGCCCATGAATAATTGGGATACTCAGGAAATAGGGTGTTCTGAATAATTTAATTTTCTAGTTAAATTAGAGTTAGGCAGAAAATCTTTTTTGTTTTATTTCTTGTTGAAAATTCTTTCTAAATATGCTGATTTTTTATCTTAGGCAAAGAGCATCATTAAAATTTTCTTTGATAAAGGAGGATATTAAAATGCTTTTGGGTTATCATTACATACCTTAATTCTCATTTTACATAACTATATATGCAAAATAAAAAGAGGGTTTTAAGTTTGGGATTGTATCTCTTTTCCTATATTTAGCCTTGGATATTATTTCTGGATGGGAACAAATGTGTGATACATATTTTTATAACTTTAACATAGAAAGAGCCAGAATATGTATTCTACTTGTGTTTATGAATGCATTCTTCACTTTCAGTTGGATATTGCCGCAGTCTTTTGCTACATAATTATTGCTAACATTTTATTTCCATCAGAAGTGTTATATTTATAACTTCATTAGTATGTAAATTTATATAATTTATAACCATTAACCACATATAACAATATTTTGTTGTTTAGCTTTCGATTTAGCCTTTTCCCTCATAATGATTTCTGTGTTTAAAATTTTTCTGTTATTTGTAGTTTCAAATTTGTAAGTTAACTTCTTTACCTCTGACATAATTCTTTTGTCTTTGTTACTTTTTCAGAAGTTTCCACAAATCACAATAATTTGGGGACAATATTAAAACAGTAATCATGAACAACAAAGATTTTGTAGTTCTTCCATGGGGAAAACCTGGACATTCTGTAAAGCTAAAATATAAGTAAGTGCATATATATTTACTTGAGGAGAAACAATTGCTAAAGTTTCTGTATATTGTAATTGAAAGTATTCTTTTTATGTGAGGCTGTTTAGAATTTAACTCAAATTTTGTGAATTCTTATCTTCATTTTTTTCATAGCTGTATTTTTTAAATTAATTAATTTATTTTTGTTACAGATGTTTCTCCTTTGACTCCTCCCTCCCCCCCCTCCCTGCCCTGTTCCCAGCTTTGTTGTCCATTTCCATTGTTCATGCATACATGCATATAAGTTCTGTGGTTTATCTCTCCCCCACCAACCCCTCTTCTGGGGATTGTCAGTCTGTACCCCACTTCCACATCTCTGGGACTACCCCATTCCTCAGACTGTCATGTTCATTATATTCCAAAAATAAATGAGATCATATGATACTTGTCTTTCTTCGTTTGGCTTGTTTCGCTTAGGATGATACTTTCTAGGTCCTTCCATGTCATCTCAAAGGATAAGAGATCTTTCTTTCTTACACCTACATAATACTCCATTGTGTATATGTACCATAGCTTTTTTATCCATTCATCTACTGCTGGACATTTGGGCTGTTTCCAGATATTAGCTATTGTAAATAGTGCTGCTACAAACATGGGGGTACATATATTCTTTATGATTGGTGTTTCAGGATTCTTAGGGTATATTCCTAGAAGTGGGATCACTGGGTCAAATGGAAGTTCAATTTTTAATTTTTTGAGGTAACACCATATTGTTTTCCATAGTGGCTGCACCAGTCTGCATTCCCACCAGCAGTGTATTAGAGTCCCCTTTTCTCCACACCCTCGCCAACACTTGTTGTTTGATGATTTGTTGATGGCAGCCATTCTAACAGGTGTGAGGTGATACCTCATCGTTGTTTTAATTTGCATCTCTCTGATGGTTAGTGATGTTGAGCATTTCTTCATATGTCTCTTAGTCATTTGTATGTCCTGTTTGGAGAGGTGTCTATTTAGTTCCTCTGCCCATTTTGTAATTGGGTTCTTTGTCTTCTTTTTGTTGAGTTGTATGAGCACTCTATATATATTGGAAATTAACCCCTTATCTGATACATCATTGGCAATTATGCTTTCCGATACAGCAGGTTGCCTTTCCATTTTGATGATTGTTTCTTTTGCTGTGCAGAAGCTTTTGAGTTTGATGTAGTCCCATGTGTTCATTTTCTCTTTTGTTTCTATTGCCTTAGGTGATGTGTCAGTAAAAATTCTGCTGCATATGATGTCTGAAATTTTGTTGCCTACAGTCTCTTCTAGGATTTTTATGGATTCATGAGTCACATTTAAGTCTTTTATCCATTTTGAGTTTATTCTTGTGTATGGTGTAAGTTGATGGTCTAGTTTCATTTTTCTGCATGTAGCTGTCCAATTTTCCCAACACCATTTATTAAAGAGGTTGTCTTTACTCCACTGTATGCTTTTGCCACCTTTGTCAAATATTAATTGAGCATATTGCCTTGGGTCCATGTCTGGGTTCTCTGTTCTGTTCCACTGGTCTATATGCTTGTTCTTGTGCCAGTACCAGGCTGTCTTGATTACAGTAGCTTTGTAGTATAACCTGAAATCTGGTAATGTGATCACTCCAACTTTGTTCTTCTTTTTTCAAGATTGCTGTGGCTATTCGAGGTCTTTTTTCGTTCCATATGAACTTTAGAAGTATTTGTTCTAGTTCTGTATGTCATTGGGATTTTGATAGGGATTGCATTGAATCTATAGATTGCTTTGGGTAGTATGGACATTTTAATGATGTTAATTTTTCCAATCCATGAACAAGGTATATGCTTCCACTTATTAATATCTTCCTCTATTTCTTTTTTCAATGACCTGCAGTTTTCTGTGAATAGGTCCTTTATTTCTTTGGTTAAGTTTATTCCTAGGTATCTTAGTTTTTTTTGCCACGATGGTAAATGGGATTATTTTTTCAGTTTCTCTTTCTGTGAGTTCATAATTGGTGTATAAGAATGCAATCAATTTCTTGATGTTAATTTTGTATCCTGCTACTTTGCCAAATTCATTTATTAAGTCTAGTAAATTTTTGATGGAGTCTTTGGGGTTTTCTACGTATAGTATCATGTCATCTGCGAATAATGACAGTTTCACTTCCTCCTTTCCAATTTGGATTCCTTTTTTTTTTTTTCCTGTCTGATTGCTGCAGCTAAGACTTCCAGTACTATGTTAAATAACAGTGGTGAAAGTGGGCATCCCTGTCTTATTCTTGTTCTTATGGGAAATGCTTTTAGTGTTTGTCCATCGAGTATGATGTTGGCTATTGGTCTTTCATATATAGCCTTTATTATGTTGAGATATGATCCTTCTATTCCCACAATGCTGAGCATTTTTATCAGAATTGGATGCAGATTTTGTCGAAGGCTTTTTCGGCATCTATTGATATGATCATGTGGTTTTTATTCTTCATTTTATTTATGTGGCGTATCACATTTATTGATTTGCGAATATTGTACCAGCCTTGCATCCCTGGGATGAATCCCACTTGGTCATGGTGAATAATTTTTTTGATGTATTGCTGGATCCAATTTGCTAGTATTTTGTTCAGGATTTTGGGGTTTATTTTCATCAGAGATACTGGCCTATAATTTTCTTTCTTTGTAATATTTTTTCTGGTTTTGGAATTAGAATTATGCTGGCCTCATAAAATGAGTTTGGAAGTATTCCTTGTTCTTGAATTTTTTGAAATAGTTTGGGGAGAATGGGTGTTACTTCTTTTTTGAATGTTCGGTAAAACTCCCCTTTGAAGCGATCGGGGATGGGCTTTTGTTTGCTGGGAGAGTCCTGATTACCTCTTCAATTTCCTTAGTTGTTATTGGTCTATTCAAGTTTTCTATCTCTTCCCAGTCCAGTTTTGGGAGACTATGTGTTTCTAGAAATTTGTCCATTTCGCTTAGATTGTCGAATTTGTTGCCATATAATTGTCCATAGTAGTTGTTAACCATCTTTTGTATTCCTGTGGTTTCAGTTGTTACTTCTCCTCTTTCATTTCTGATTTTGTGTATTTGGGTTCTCTCTCTTTGTTTCTTGGTGAGTGAAGCTAAGGGACCATCCATCTTGTTTATCTTTTAAAAAAACCAGCTCTTTGTTTCATTGATCCTTTGAATTTTTTTTTTTTTTTTGGACTCTATGCCATTTATTTCTGCTCTGATCTTTACTATCTCCTTCCTTTTACTTGCTCTGGAGTTTTCTTTTTGTTTGCTTTCTAGTTCTTTAAGTTGTGGGGTTAGACAGTCTATTAGAGATTTTTCTTGCTTCTTGAGGTAGGCCTGTAGTGCTATGAACTTCCCTCTCAGAACTGCTTTTGCTGCATCCCATAGATTTTGTGTTGTTGTTTGTTCATTTTCATTGGTTTCCAGAAAGTTTTTAATTTCTTTCTTGATCTCCTTGGTAACCCATTCACTGTTTAATAATATGCTATTTAGCCTCCATATTTTCAGATGTCTTTGCATGTTCTTGTTGCAATTGATATCTAGTTTCATGCCATTATGGTCTGAGAAGATGCTTGATATGATTTCAATCTTCTTGAACTTGTAGAGACTTAGTTTGTGTCCTAACATGTGGTCTGTCTTTGAGAATGTCCCATGTGTACTTGAGAACATAGCTGTATTTTTATTTATAAGAAAATCAGTTTGAAATATTGTAAATCTATAATAGTTTTAAAAATAAGGACTAAAATATTTATGCCACAGGAATTGAAAGGAAAAGTTATAAATGAAGTTTGAGCTTACTAGTAAAACCATGACAGACAGCTACAAATATTTTTGTGACACTTATAATAATAAAAAAATTATTAAAGAAAGTGAAAGAAACTTAAAATTAAGGAGACTATTAGGGCGAGTGACCTTTTAAAAGGAAAAAGAAGTACTCACTAATTTAGCATTTTGCATGGTTAAAAGATATTATGTTGCCCTGGTAGGTTTGGCTCAGCGGTTAGAGTGTCGGCCCATGGACCAAAGAGTTGCAGGTTCAGTTCCAATCAAGGGCACGTACTTTGGTTGTGGTTTGGTCCCCAGCCCTAGTCGGCGTTGTGCGGGAGGCAACCGATTGATGTGTCTCTCTCACATTGATGTTTCTCTCTTTCTCTTCTACTCTATCTGAAAATAGATGGAAAAATATCCTCGGGTGAGGATTAAAAAAAGAAAAGATGTTATATTGAATTCATCTTTATCAGGAAGAGTACCTTCTGACCTAGATTGCCTGGTAGATGCATTCAGCCAGAACCAAGGAGCTCTGGGTATCCTGGGATTTTCATGACATGGCAGGGAAACAGAAGGTTTAGTATCTGAAACAGGACAACAAATGGGTCTGGGCTGTCTGTTACTATTTGAGCCAATTAAGTAGAGACAAGGTTGGATCGTATATGAACATTTATTCCAATATTGCTGCAGTATGGGGGAGCCGCCTGGTCATCCTGCAAAAATCTGCTCTGCACTCCCTAGCCGGTTGCTCATATTCATGGGGAAGTGGGTAAAGGGATATCAGTGGGTAAAATGGTTGGGGAAGTAGGCAAAGGGAATAACAATGGGTAAAACAGTTACAGGTTACAGGCATGGGGAAGTAACAGGAGCTCCAAACTCCAAGGTTGTTTATCTTTCCATGATGCAAGGAGGGGGCCAGTTTTCCAGTAAAGAGAATGGACAGCATTCCTGAGGCAAACCCCCAGGGCATAAAGCTCCCAACAGGTGAGAATAGGCTTTCTTCATCAGAACAAAGCAATTACAATGAACAGAGTAAGGATATTCAACATTTCTATAGCTATGGCTAGCACCCTGTTATGATTAGTTCTTTATTATTTTATAATTCTCTCTCACATCCTGTTTGCCTTAGAGATCATCTAGAGTCACAGATGATCTCTAGATGACCCTTCCTCTCAAATATCACTAAGGGCTAGCCAGTATGGAGTGGGGACAGGCTGTCAATGTTTTAAAAAATATTTTTCCTTTATTGATTTTAGAGAGAGAGGAAAGGAGAGAGGGAGAGAAACAGAAACATCGATGAGAGAGAACACCGATTGGCTGCCTCCTGCATGCCCCCCACTGAGGATTGGGCCCACAACCTGTGTCAAGTCTCAAGTCTGTGGTATATATTTATAAACATTCATCTGAGAAGCATTTATTAAGAGTGCTGGGGAATGGTGGAAACAAAAGTAGGAAGTCCCAATCTTTGTCTTCAGGTAGCTTGCAGAGGATGTGAGTAGGTAAAATTACATTCACAATATAGTGTGAACCAGGATGTGACTTGAAAGCACAAGGGCTATGAGAACAATGCCCAAATTGCTGGGGTAAGGGCAGGGGGTGTCCAAGCTTTGCCTGAAAGATGGAATTAGTTGGGTGTAACTTGGGCAAAGGCACAGAGACCACATAGTTTGGGGACTTTCAGACGTATCCAATTTACTAATATTTATAGAACAAAGTTGGAGAGAAGGGCAGGGTTATATCGATAGTAAACTAACTTGTATACCACACTAAGGAGTTTGGAATTCTTCTTGGACATAAAGAGGGTCACTGTTTCCTGGCCTATGTCTCCCTGATCCACAGCCCATGCAAACAAAGACTGGGTAGACATGAACACCCACTCGATGTAATTGCTCTGCAGTTTCTTTTCTTGGCCTTTCCTTGTTCCAAGCCTATGTTTATTTGACATTGTCTTAATAATTATCTCAAAATTTGTCTGACATTTTGGGTTTGGTGTTTCCTAACCCCCAACTCACTACCTCTTTCCCAGTCCTTAACCCATTTCAGCAGGTTGTTTCTGGCCCTTGAATTTGTTGTGTTGACATGGTCTCTGCAGGATCAACCTTAGTTTTCTTCATTGTCATTGCCTGCCCTTCTGGCTCTGTGTGCAAGGCTGTGTCCAAGAGAAAGCCTTTGTCTTGTTCTGGACACACAGAATCCCACCATAAACGCGACCACTTGGTTAACAGGCCAGCCCTTTTTTCAGTTTCACTCATTTCCTCTACCACAGGGGGGACTTCAGAAACATTAAACGTTCTCTAAGCAAACGAGTGACACAGTCGTATTTGTACTTTTGAACTTTTCCTCTGGAAGCCACATGGAAAGTGTTGTAGGCCCTTGAGAGTTTGGGCTGGGGAAGATCAGCTCAGGGACTAATCCTGAACTGTCCCCATCCCATCCCAGAATGACCTCGTTCAGGAAATGGCATTGTTGTCCTCCTGGTCACTCAAGTAAGAAACCTGGGATTGTCTTAGATTTATTTCCTTGTCCCTTCCCTGGGCAGTAACCTACTTCTGATCAGTCTCTATGTCCACTTAATTCTATTTTTTATATTCTCAAATGCTCCCATCTTCCCCTGCTGTCTCTAGTCAGAGCAGCATAACCTCTCTATTAAGATTATTAAAATCGTCTCCTAACTGGTTGCCTGGATATTAGGCCACACTGTCATTTAATTTTCCATTTTGTGGCCAGTGATCTCTCTAAGATGCAAGTTTGATCAATTCTCTTAAAATCCTTTAATGATCCTTATTGCTCAAAGAATACAAATTCCAGTTCCTAACCATAGCCTACGTGGCTCTTCATCATCTTGCCACTGTCGCCCTCAGAAGTGCCATTTCGTCCCACTGTCTCCAGCCTGCACGTAGAGTTTGCCTGGTCACGTGGAGTTTCTGGTTCCTTGGCCCACACATCACTCTTTTCTGCTTGTGCCTACACTTTTCTCGATTCCTCGGACACTGCTCTCGCCACCTGCTTTTGGCTGGCTAAGTCCTTTGATCCCATAGGGCTTAGCTCTGACTTCAGTTTCTCCAGAATTGCTCCTACAGTTCCATCACTACTTTGCTTAAGAGAAAAAGATGATATAAAACTGTTTAGCATTGGTTTTGGTGATCTCAAATGAATATCCTGCCTTTCAATCTTATTCAGAAATGCTCAAGAACTGAAGATGGAGAAAGTACAGTTGGAGTTGGAGAACCAAGAGATAGAAAAGAAATTACAAGAATTCCAATCAACAAGGAAGAAAGAAAGGGAAGAAAGAGAGTAGGTGACATTTTTAGAGAATTCCAGAGGAATAAACTGAATTATATAAAGAATGATTTTATATACTATAGTCTTCCTATCAAGATCTGTTCTGAATGAATACTTTCTGTTTTTCCCTGATGAACAAGCCATATTAAATTTTCCCTTTTCTTATTTGTGTTTCTGATACAAGACATGTTTTTTTGTTTGTTTTTAATCACCATTACTTTTGTTGCTTCTGGATCTTATATGCTCTTAAATTTTTTTTATTTCTCTTCTTGTTTCTTCTGAATCATTTATAGTCTGAAACATGTAGGACATTAGTGCAGAATTTGCCCTTTACTCTCATGAAATTGCCATCAACAGGAGATTGCCAGTTTAGGTTTAGAGTCATTTTAATTTATTAGAAGACTTTTGGGGGCAAGCGTTTACATGTACATAAATAAGAATTATTCAAAACCTTAAGTATGTTTGAAATATTCTTAACCAATGTGCTATAGCTAAAATTTTATTAATGAGAAGTCTCTAATATGCAAGAAGTGTCTTGCATATCTGTACTAATTTTCCTGAGAATTTGGTTTTATTATAAATAATAAATGTACTAAAAGTAAAATTGATAGCTATGTAAAGGAAATTATCTCTTCTTAGCTCTAGGCCAACTCTCAGCACATTTTGCAACACTGGTTTTAACCACTAAAAACTCTTTCATCACAAATGTCTTATCTTTATACAAGCTTATATATACATATGTGTGTGTATGAATGTGCATGTGCATGCAGCTGACATGTCTTTTATGTTTTTAGAAATGAAGTTGTCTAAAAAAATATGTGAATTGATTCACACCATATATTTCTACTTAATGTATCTTAGTGCTCTTGTCAAATCAGCACCCATTGATCTCACTTCTTAAATGGCTACATGATATTTCTTTGTGTGGATCTAATAACATTTATTTTCCAGATTTTTATTAAGTTTTTAGTATTTTGTGATTATATATACTCTTAATGAGCATGCTTCTACATTTTTTTTTCTTATATATGCAAGAGTACCTATGGGATAAATTTCTACCTGTATAATTTTAGGTCTAAGTATATGTGTAGTTTACATATTGGTAGAAATTGGAGAAATTGTCTTTAAAATAAGCTTCAAAAGTGTGTAACTTTCTCCTATAGAGAATGAGAGTGCATGTTTCATGTGCTTTTCCTGGTGTTAAATATTACCAGACTTTTTGTATATTAAATTTGCTTATGTTTGGTGCACAAAGTGATGGTCATTAGATATCTATGAAGTACTGTCTGAACCCTTAAAGAAAATTCAAATGTTTATTATAGTTTCAGTAGTATTTATCTTTAGGTCTAACTCTTTGACAAATATTCATGACATAAACCAAAGAACTTACATGCATAACCAATGGACACAGACAATAGTGTGGGAAAAGGCGGGAGGGAGGTGGGAGTGGGGAGGAGGGAGTCAATGGGGGAAAAAATGTGGAACATCTGTAATACATTCTACATTCAACAATAAAGATTAAAAAAAAAAAAGAATCAGAAAAAATAAATATTCATGACACGTACACATATCCTTTCTAATAACCAGAGTATTGGTTTAATCAAAACATCTTAATGTTGTACGTCACCCAACTGACAAAAGTCATTGTGTGTCTTGCTGCTCTTCTCTTAAGGATCCAATGGCCAATTCTAATTTTTTTTTTTTTTTTTTTGGAACTTCACTGCTTTAGACTTCTCAGTGGATCACAAATGTCTGTGAATCAGTTTCTGAAATCAGCCCTCAAGGCTGAGTTTTCATTAGCTGAGGAACCTTTTCTAGATATTTTAAAAAATGTTCTAAAGCTTCAGTGAATTTTCAGAATAGTTAAATCTTTTTCTGAGGTTACATGGACAATAAATATCATAGCCCCAATGAGAACGTGCCACCTACTGGTTAGGGTGTTGGAAGTCCAGTGATCTCATCTTGGCTTTATTGTTTATTACCTGCGACCTTGGGCAAGGTTTTGTCTCATTATCCTTTAAATGGGAATTGGAGTCCCTGCCCTGTTGACTTCAAAAACATTTTTGTGAGTCTCAAAGGTGCTTTGAAAACTAAACAGTAAAGCTAAACAGTTTGCTTTCTTTGTCATCTCAGTTATCTTTCAACATAAGAGCTATCTGAAATCTTAAGGAATTAGTCACTTAGTAGATCTGAATATTTTTAGTTATTGTTTTGCTTCTTTTTCCTCTTTATATTTGTGAACCCTGAACTTTTACAATTGCATGACAATCTATAATATTTCCTGTAAATCAATAAAGCTATCTTTAGTCATTAAATTATCTAAGAAATTGAATGCTTCATCTATTTGGACATTTCACTTTTATTCATTTTATCTGAAAAGTTCCAAATATGGTAGAGCTATATTTTAGAATTACCAAGGATATTGTGGCATTTCTGATGTTTCATTTTTATTTTGTGGTGGTCTGTTACATGCTAACAACTGAATTTCAATTTCCTGAAATAGGAAAAATATATTTATTTTCATTAAAAGGAGAAATGTATTTAGTTATTACAGTTTATCTTTTGTTATATATATTGAAGGTCAAGCGGCTATCACTGGAAATCTGGAAAAGTGGGAAAATTGGGTTATCAGTCACACGTAATGTCACAAAATAAAGGAAATGTTATTAAGGTAAGAAAATACTGTTTGATTTTCAGGAAATTTGCCAAGCAATAATATATACATTATTTTTTTTTAGGTCTTGCATTCCCTCCCATACTTAAGAACTTACTGTTTTAACAACTACATGTTACTGTATTTTGATTAATTTTCATAGGTTATATAGAGCTTTCATATTCAAGTATCGTTCTTTTTTCCATCGGCAAGTTGGTTTTTAGAAATTCACTTTGAGTTGAAATTTCTTAAATAACTTTTTTTTCCCATCAGTTCAGTTCTGGTTTCAAGTATATGAAATAGAACTGTGCAGATCTGTATTAAGCTGAAAGCTATTATTTGATGTAACAAAGAACAAATTTTTTTGTCTGCCTTTTCGTTATATCACATTTGTTTAATATGTTGATGTTTTGTTTGAATAATAATTATTATTCACATCCTGTTGATTCCATATGTGAAGATACCCAAAGGAAAACTACTTATAGATTTCCCAGCTATATAATTGCTTTATCTTTACTATGTGTTGTAAAATAAAACATTACATTATGTGTATGATTAAAGCCAGATGACTGTGTTTCTGTAAAGAAAACTGTTTTGCTTCTGAATTCTTTAGTACAAGGTCCGTGACTTTGTAAGTTTTAACTTATATAGCTTTTTCTTTTTTATATACCTATCATCAAACTTTCATTGGGCAGTTGGCATCTACAAAGATTTTACTCAGTGCTTCTAAACTTTTTGTCTTTGAAAAAACATTTTATTGTTTAGTGTCATTTTCTTACTTAAATATGTTTCTTTAATTTTTGGATTGAAATTCACTTCCCATTTTTTATCATCATTCCGAGATATAGTGTTCCATGTTCCAGATGCTATTGTAAATATAATATATTAAAAATACTGACTCTGTGATTATTGACTTATTTTTTAGTGTTTATTAAATGCTTTCTTTGTCATATAGTAAATTTTCTTTATTCTCCAGGAGATCTTCATCTATGTGACAGATGAGGCACATATGAAAATATTTATAGAAAATATCACTATGTATTTTTTGCCATAACTCTTTAGTGTTTGAACCATCTGTACTGGAGAAATAATAGTTTAGTTTTGCAAATATTTGAAAGTCTTCTAGATGTGTTTGTAAGAAAACAGTGACAAATGAATCCCAATGCTGGTCCCCACAATCTTCATGACTGAGTGGAAGGGTGAGAGCAAGGAGGGCGGGTGATACAGATGGTGGAGGTAGAAGTGAGCCCGGACAGGAGGGAAGCCTTCCAGAGCAACTCAGGAGTCTTGATTTTTTAAAAATAGGTGAAGGAATTCCCTGACAGCTTTGGACCAGGACGATAGCAAGATTAAGGTGATGATTTATGATGATCGATTTTGTTCAAATATCCAGTGCATTTGGAGTTTATAAATACAGAGCAAATGATATACAAATTGTTTTGCTCATGCATCACATTAATAAAGAATATATTTTGAGCATAGCTTGGTACCCATGAACTATTTATTTATAAATAGAATATATATATAATTGTTTACTACTATGTGAATTTTAAAGCCAAATATGGAGATTAATCAATGATAATATAAACATAAATAGATGATTCTTTTCTGTTCTCTGACCTTTTCCTGAGCTCCCTCAGCATGCGGACATGCTACTTTGGAGGTCACTGGTATAGAAACAGAGAGACTGTTTAAAAAATCTAGAGATTCAGATGAGAACAGTCTAACTTAAAATGTAGCAAAAGAAATATAAAGGGAAATATGGACCCAAAAAAGCGATGAGAAAGAAAAGGAGGAAGTCAAATATATGATTGACATTGCAGCCTGGATTGGCTAGGAGACAGAATAAAGAAGAAAGTTAGAAAAAACGTTCTGGGATATTGCTTTAGACCTTCTTCCCTCCCTCCCTTCCTTCCCCCCAGCTTTATTGAGGTATAAGTAACAAATAAAATAGTAAGATATTTAAAGTGTACAATTGATTCAATATACATATATTATAAAATTACCCCCCACCGAATTAATTCATACATCTATCACCTCACGTTTATCCCTCTCTCCCTTTTTGTAGTCAGAACATTTAAGTTCTACCCTTTTAACAAATTTCAAAGATCTATAGTCTTTATTTGAATTCTCATGTGTTCGTTGAAGACGAGAGAGTAAAAGTGGTTCCTAAGAATTTATAAAAAGGGGAAGAAAGGTCAAGGACAAAGCTCAGGAAGGGCAGGTGTGAATAGTAAAGCTCCAGGTATCTGGAGGAAAACCAGTCAACAGTTCATCTGCTTGTTCTGTTTTATCTTGTTAAGTGCCTATATCACTCTTAAAAGGCAGTTGTTATTTTTCTAGTGCCACAGATGAAGTAATTTAACATCAAATAAGTAACTTGCTCAAGGTCAAGCATCAGGGCCAAGTTTTGAAATGCGGGATTTCAGGCTGGTTCTAAGATAATTCGCCAGCTTTGCAGTAAAGGGAGCCTGAGAAGAGAAAGAATGGTGGGACTAGAATCAAAGTAATGTGATTTCATAGAAGAGAAATGTGACCAAGGGTGTTTTCAGAAAATATGGAGAAGTCAACATTGTCTGGTACACTGTGTAGTGGAAAAGTTTTAGACCAGTGTTGCTCCACAAGGGGCATTCCTCCTCCCCCATCAGGAGACATTGGGCAATGTTTGGAGACATTCTTAGTTATCTCCACTGAGAGAGTTTGTTTTGCTGATGGTATGTAATAGCTACAGGCCAGAGATGCAGCATACACCCTATCGTGCATTGGACAGCTCTCGTAGCAATGAATTATCTTGGCCGACATCAAGAAACCCTGTTTAGATTAAATTCGTCACTCATTTCATTAGCTCTGGGATTTTAGGCAAGTCATTTGACCTTCCTGAGTTTGTATCACCAAGTTTCTAAGGATACTTGCTAATTACTTCACAGAGTTGTTAGCAAGGTGCAAGATAATAGGTGTGAAAACAATTGTAACATTAACTGAACATCACATTATAATGTCTATTTATGGAGAATGAGAATTTCTAGAAACACTGAACTGGGTTTGATGATTTGGTCATTATTAGGTGTAAAAATATTTTCAAGTGGTTGAAACAGAAAGGCGGCGGCAATGTGAAAAGACTAATGTTGCAATGAACATAGGAACAGGCTACCCTCTCAACTCTTCAGTGGGATCAAGGAAAGACTTTATTATATTGTTTTTGAGAATCAGGGAGAAGATGAGTCAGTTTGTAGTTGAGAGACGCATTCACAAAAGTGGCACAAAGATTAAAGATGCAATTGAAAGAGGTGCCAGTTTCTGGGCACGTCATCTTTGAAGACCTTAACCGAGGCAAGGAGGACACATTTCTTCTGAGAGCAGAAAGATGGAAGAGAAAACAGGTGGCAGCGGAAGTTAAGTTTGAGAGGTTTAGTTTGACAGGGAGTGAGGCAGAGGACACTGTAGAAAACTCTTACCGGGAAGACCTCAACATTCTCAGTAAATATGAAGGTAAGATCATCTGTTGAGATTCAGGAAGGAAAATGGGGTGAATCTGAGATTTCTGGACTGGGGAACGTTTGGAGTATCTGCTGTGGGAATCTTGATTGAGGATTAGCAGCAAATGAATACATGGATTGCTGAAGAGCAGAAGAGCCCACTGGAGTTGTTCAGCATGGATTTATACGGGATCCAATTAGGATTATTTCACCACAATGGTAGGTAGGTATGGGTGGTTTAAGAAGGAGGTAAAGTGATCATGGTTAGCGCTGAGAAACTCCGAGTCTGGCTTTGAAGGTGTGGCCACACAAATTGCTGCTTTGGTTCAAGATTTGGTCATAATGGTCAAGTGGCTGAGGACACATTCAGATGTTCATAGCAGTTGGCATGTTGGAGGGTTTTCTGCTTTAGGATGTCAGGTGAACTTGGACATTGAAGTCTCCACAGTCATCACTTAGAAATGTGATGAAGAGAAATACTGGGCAGATTGATGATGTTCTGGTGGGTGAGGATCCTGGATATTGATAAAGGCGGTAAGTGGATGGTGAGAACCTTCAGTGGAGGCAACTGAGTGATGACAGCAGAACAGTACTCTGGGCACAGCACTGAGGAGCAAACGGAGGAAACTTTTCTTCTCGTAAGTGAAAGGGGGTACAAATGGATCTAGGTCCTCTGGAAAGTTCTGTAGAGGAGGTTGTGTCACAGGAAAGGTGCGTCCAGTTTATATGAACTTTTGGAAGAGATATTTTTAGAAAGGTTTAAGGTATAAGATAGTTAAGTGACAATTTCATAAGGGCTCCAGGGAAGGACAGGGGAGCCTGGATGGAAGGAGAAACAGTGGAGAATGGCAAACGCCAAGGAAGTCATCGGATTAATGATAAGGCTGCTTGAAAGGGTGGCTCGTGGGAGGAGTGTGGGTCCAGCCTGGCAGATTAGGGCACTGAAGGGAGTTTGGAGGCGTCGGTGAATGCCAGGGGCAGATGATGACAGCATAGTCGGACTCAGAGGGCCCAGATGACATGTCTGAGTGGTAGAGCTCTCATTCAGGATCTGCTGGTAGAGGCTTGAGTGGGTTAATTCGGCATAGGCTTTGGTACACTGAAGTCCTGCTATTTGGAGATATATACATGAGTCTGTGAGTGTGTGAGTGTGTGTGTGTGTGTGTGTGTGTGTCTGGTCCAGCACTACTCCACCAAACAGATAAAAATGAGACTTAGGAGGCCAGTGTGGCTCAGTTGGCGAGCCCTGCCCCATGCACTGACAGGTCACCGGTTTGATTCCCAGCCAGGGCACATGCGCAGATTGTGGGTTCCATCACATCAGTTTTCTCTTCCTCTCTCTCTAAAACCAATAACAACATATTTTAAAAAATCAGACTTAGGAGGAAATTCTATTTGCCTAAAAATAGCAGCTAGGAGTTTGTTCATTGAAATATTTTCATGCAATTTGAGTTATTTGAAATAAATATGACTGCATTCATAAAGCAGAAAGATATTCTTTATAATATTAAAACAAACTATAAAATTTCCCTAATAATGGGTTCAGTTTGCTTTAGCAAATTATTTGCTTTGGTAGCCTATAACCACATTGAATATGTTGCAATTCAGAGGTATCATTAAGGCAGTAATATTGGATAATTTGGTTATAAAAATGAGATGAAATTATCTGTAACATATAATATTGTAAGTTTAAAAATAAAAGTTTGATTCACTAAGAATTGATTATTTAAATGCCATTTTTTTTTTTTTTTTTTTGCTGTATTTGGTACATAGCATCTGAGTAGCTACTTATAGAATGTGAACAAATACCCCTTTGAAGCAAAACCACCAGATTCACTGAGAACAGTTAGGCCTAAATTTTCAGATAACCGCAGTTGGTATAGCCATAGACATAGAGGCAACCATTGTTCTCATATTCTTGTTACAAATTGGGCAATTGAGAGTGCAAATTGCAAATTGAAAACAAGGCATGAATTGACAGTGTCTGTGTAAATAGGCACACTCCTCCATGTTCACCTGCGTGCTTTGAATGTTGGTTTGAATAAGAAGAAGGCAACTATATGCAATTGGCAAGTCGGTTCTATCTCTTTAAATCTTAGGATCCCAGGATTTTAAGTGAACATTTATCTGAAATACCTAGAGTGAGTCTTATTCACCCAGTTTTTTGGGCTACAACTTGGAAAAGTCAGGGGTCACAGATAACATACTTTAATTCTCTGATGCTTAACTATGTGGTTCTCTAAATTGGGCAAATAAGATAATATTGTTTCGTACACTTATATAAACAGAGTAGCTCACTAAAATTCAGTTTAGATCTAGTCTACACAAATATTAGACTTTTTGTCTTTCAGAAAGACCAGAGATAGAAAAGCTATACTATTTGAATAGCAGTGCTTTCCCTAAAGTCATTTCATGATATATAACAATTTTTATGTAACTGAAGATAATGTAACCTAATTTTGATCTCATAAATACTTTATGGCGTATTTAAAAGACTGGTCTTTATATTTCCAATATATTCTTTGCTATAAATTTTATTAATTTAATTAAAGGGTCTATTTATGCTTTAATGATGCTCTCTTATTAATTTTATATTATTCTTTCAAAATGTTTGTTTTGCTCAAGATGCACAAAAATTTTTATAACTTTCTAATACTTTTGTTAATGACTTAAACTTTCTTTGAATAAGAGAATGTATACCTAACAAATAGTATCTATTTCATTAATACAGGTTTCTCCTGGAAAACTGAAATTAAAATTACTGAGGGAGCAGCTTCAAGGTAAACATTTTACCACTGCTATTAGATGCTACAGAGAGAGTGATTTCTTTTACATTTGAATGACATAGAAAATTAAAGTGCTAGAATTGTCCATGCAGTATAAAGACTCCAAACCCCCAAATGATGACTCTTTATCTTTGATATTCAAAATACATTCTATTTATGTTTATTTATAGTAGGGGAGCCTTATTTTATTTTCAAAGCATTTCCATTTAGAATGTGACTATAACAAAGCATTTTTTTTCATAGTGAGGATTTTCATAGCTCTGGTCCTTAAAGTTTATTAATGTAATCTTTTAACTAGGATAACAATTTGGCAGTATAAATTATAAATTGAAATTTTACTCTAGGAAATTAAGAGAATATTAAAAAAATTCCTTTATATTTTAATATATTTTGACAATATAAAAAACAAAATTTGTTTTGGATATATAATAACTCCAACAGAAATAAGACATTTTAATAGAGGAAAAACACATTTAATGTGAATGGTTAAGATGTTTGGTAGACAAGTTCTATAAATATATAGAACATTTATAATAGAAGATGTTCTGTGTGAGCTTCAGTTTGATCCAATGATGGGACAGTATGCTACCGGTATTTTATCAAGAATATAGTTTTTAACACTTATTACATTTTATAATTTTACCTGTCCAGTGTAAGTGAATTGTAAGCAGAATGGATATGGCGGATATGTGTGGCCCTGTGGCCTTGGGAGGATTAGACTGGGCTACATGCCATTGTTAGTAGGTAGCTAATATTATTTGAGAATTTAGAAATATGCATACTTTCATTACTTTATCAATCAGAAATCTAAACACCTATTTTAAAGCGATTAGCCTGCCTTTTTTCCCCCAGCGCCAGTGAGACAGCCACATAATTATAAAATGGCAAATTCCTCTGAAAGTGAAAAACCCAAGATAAAAGGGAAGGCCTGTGGACAGTGTGAGAAGAAGGCTGCTCTGCTGGTACGTACTTTAGGAAAAGATGCTGGAAAATAATTTACTCATGGTCTTGGACACTTTCCCCAACCTGAGCTGCTGAGCCGGGCACTGTCCTGCTGTGACTCGTCATGAGGGTGAGTGCATGCGGCTGCGGAAGGCCAGCCACCTCCAGATCCGTCCCCTCACTCCTGTGGGCACTGCCTTAACTGACCCTCCCGGCCTCGGACATGCCTCTCCGCACACAGACGTGCCTCAGTGCCCCCACCTGCAACCGGAACCCAAACCACAAGAGACGTTCTCCTTTAACCCCCCACATCTCCCCTGTTCCTCCTTTGGTAACACTTGAAGAGTTGGTCATACTTGCTGTCATCATATGCTTTTCTCATTCTCTCTCTTTTTAAAATTGAGGTATAATTTACTGTGAAGTTGACAGATCTTAAATGTGCAACTAGATGCCTTTTGACAAAGGTCTACACTCCCAAGTTACTAGAATACCCCTGAAAGCTTTCTTGTGCGTTTTCCAGTTCATCCCCACCCCAAAGGCAACCACTGTCCTGATTTTTCACACCTTATCTTCAGTAGTGCCTATTCTTGAAGTTTATGTCAATAAAATGATAAGGTATCATATAGGGTTGGGCAAAGAAGGTTTGCTCATTTATTCACATGTTGAATGACATTTGGGTTGTTTCTGTTCTTTTTCCTATTATGTTTAAGGCTGCTGTGTACATTTATGTGCAAATCTTATCCCTCACTCTGAATGCATTTATTCTTCTTTCCTTAAAAGTTCTGAAGTGACCTTGAAAAAAAGTGCCTCCCCCAAATGCTTTCTGACAGCTCTCTAAAGTTTCATTAATGTCAATTTCATGAACTTAAAAAATTATTGTAAAATACACCATAATTTAAAAGTTTTCGTCTTAGCCATTTTAAGTGCACAGTTCAGTGGCATTAAGTACATTCACGTTGCGGTGCTACCATCACCACCGTCCATCCGCTGAACTCTTTTAACTTGCAAACTGAAATTCTGTACTCAGTAAACAGTGACTTCCTATTTCCCCCTCCCCTCGACCCCTGGCAAACTCCACTCTGTTTTCTGTCTCCATTAATTTGAACACTAGGTGTCTCTATATATGAAATCATATAATATTTATTATTTTGTCCCTCCATCATTGTCCTTATTTCACTTAGCGTAATGTCTTTAAGATTAATGCATGTTGTAGCATGTACCAGAATTTTCTTTATTTTTAAGGCTGAATAATATTCCATTGAATATATTTTCCACATTTTGCTTGTCCACTCATCCACTGATGGACATTGGGTTGCTTCCACCTTTTAGCTACTATGAATAATGCTACTGTCAACATGGGAGTACAAATATTTATCAAGTCCCTACTTTCAATTATTTGGGGTATATACCCAGAGTGGAATTGTTAAACTCCCATTCTCTCTTGAACCCTGTCCATTCAGTATTGGGTCTCCACTATTGTCCAGTAAGTGGTCCTTTCAAGGTCACCTGTGACTTCCGCATTCTTAAATACATTGGTCACTTCTCAAGTCTTATCTTAATCTGTCCGTAATATTTGATACAGTATCCCTGTCCTTTCCTATGACTCTTCACTTGGCTTTCTCTGAAACAGCATTCTGTCTTGGTTTCATTTTATTTTGCTAGCTACCCCTTCTCCATTTTCTTTGTTGGTTTTCCGTATTCTTGACCCTGTAACATTGGGATGCTACAGGCCTCAGTTCTCAGTCCTCTTCTCTAGTCTGTCTATTCTTACTGTTTAGGTAATTTCTTTCGCTCTCTTGGCTTCAAGGACAACCTCTACTTTGATGATTCCCAGATTTCCATCTCTGACTCATCTCTCTCCCTTGCACTTTCAACTCAGTCTGCCTAATCAACACCCTACTTGGATGTTAACAGGAATCACTAACTTCCCATGTTCAAAATTGAACTTTAGTTTATCTCCAACCAATTTTCTCCCTCCACTGTCCCCTCGTATCAATAAAGGTCAACTCAAATGTTACGTACCCGACGGCCCTTTATTGAATAGCAGCAGCTGACTTTCACTCTCTAGTTTTGTGAAGCTTCTTCATTCATGCACATAGCAGTGACACCCTTTCACGCTTATTTGTTTATTTTCCAACCACCTTTAATGTCAACTTCATGAGAGTGGTGATTTTGTTCTGTTCACTGCTGTGCGCCCACCACCTTTGTAGATACTCAACAAATATTTGTTGAATGAGTCATTTCTTTAAAACTTTTTGTAGTACAGACTTTAGACATATCTTCCTTTCAGTTAGGGTTAAAGATACTCCAGTACTTTTTGAAATTTAATATATATTACACATACTTAAGAAGTAGTCCTCCCCCCCCGAAAGAATTTAATGATTATAACTGATATTGTAGACTATATTGTAGTTTCAGAGAATTTAGCTATAATTACTTCTGATTTAGGGCTATTTTACTAGCTTTATTTAATAGTAGTTGGAACTGGGCTCAAAGAATTAGAATGCTGTGAGTTTAATAAAGGGTTAATAACAATATTAAATGTAAAAGTAAAACTCAGCCTTTTGGTATAATGCTCTTACAATTACGTCATACTATTATCCTATTGGACATAATGGTGGACAACAAAGAATCTTAGCCAATTGTACCTATGTAGAAATATTTAAAAATATAAACAAATAGTAATGTTTTTGCAGCTGTAAATATGAAGGGGACTTACTGGTTGAATTGAAGTGTTGAGGTTCATTGTTCATGATCTGAAAAAGGTTTATGTAGTAGCTATGAGTTAATATTTTTATTGAATCCTATTCTATGTTGAGCACTTTTTAGAGGCTGTGGAATTTGAACAACACGGCATAGGTAGATAAGATTTGACCTGAAAATGAAGGATCTGGTTTTCCATAGAGTATGAAACGCGAGGAAAAGACGCCCCAGACAAGATAAATGGCATATGCCTTTCCTGGAAAGCAGGCGCTGACAATGTGCACCCATTTGCCGGAAAACGTGGTGTACGGACGCTGGGCTTTAGGCCTTAAACACACTGAAACATTTCACTAATATCTTAACAAAGGATGTTCTTTGATTGGAAATGAAAGTAATATACTTGTCATGGCACAATAATAACAATAAGTTATTTAACAATTCAGGCTAGGCAACTTTAATGAAGTAGACTGTCCTAGTGTTAAATAAACTCTGAGGTTATCCTATCTTACTGATTAGATAACTAGAGCCAACCTTTCTACTTATGCTGGGGTCATTGGGGACCACTGGATTTGGGGTAGGGGTTAAGAACTTGTGTTTTGGGGGTTTGAATTTCAACTTTACCTGTTATTAGCTATGTGACCTTTAGCAAATAACTTAATTCCTCTATATTTCTGTTCTCTCATTAGTAAAGTGAAATAATATGAATAACAGTAGTCTACACTTCTAAGTTGTTGAGGATAATAGGTTAATAAGTACATGAAAATATTTAGCATTGTGCCTGCTATATTGTTAGGAGACAATAAATTGTGTGTTTTTGTTGTTGACACATTTTCTTAACTCCTGATACATTCACTATATATTGATGGTAAAAATATAATTCCAAACTTCTAAATTTTTAATTAAAAAAAAGTTACAGTAGTTTTAGGCTGTTTCTACATGGCAAAAGGGAAATGGATAGTTAAAAATTATATATTAATTTGGCAAATGTGGATAATTTCATTAAACTCAAATGGTTTCTAAAGGCTTAGTACGACTGAACTAGCCTTGATCAAATTAAAAACAGGTTTGCTGAAACTGCACTTGGGCACTCCATCACTGAAGAAGCATCTGTGGTAGAATGGCATGCTTATCTATGTTTTTACTGTGTTTCTGCTGGTTATACAGACTGCCGGAAAAGATTTTCCAGTTGGCGGTCATTTCCACCTAATTTAAATCCAAATGTGCTTGTGTAACAAAATGTGTGAACTTACTCTGCTACTCCAGCTTTGATCTTCCAGTGCCCAGTGTCCGTTTGGCTACTTTCAATAAACGTCTGTTTTCAACAGATACTTGCTTTAGAACTATATTTTGAAACTGATTTTCTGTCCGCTGTGTTATATTGTAAAACCATTGCAGGGTATTTATCAGAAATTTATGAAAATATTAGCAGATAAGTAAAATAAAAATTAGGCACAATACATTTCGAAATCTACATTAATAAAAGAATATTACCATATATGCATGTGGAATCATAGCTTTTCAAATTGATTTTGCACATGAAAAATCATGGATTTAGATCATGTGTTTATCATCATTTCTCTAAGAGACCGTAGCTCTTGAAACAAGATTGGAAGGATAAGACTAGTTCCCATACTAGGGCTAGTGTTTATTTTTCTTCTTAAATAAAAAATCCAGTGCTGTATAGCTAATCACATTTGAAAAAATATATATTTGGATTTTAACAAATACCAGAACATGTAGTCATCTGAAATATGGGATTTTATTTTATTGCAGATTTAATCAAGTTTTTTTTTTCAATAAATGATTAGTACTGCAATTAATGGTCAATAATTGATTTAATGGTTAGTAACGTGGGTTGAGGGCAAAAGCTTGAGCCAGAATGAGGGTTGAATTTTGGCTCTATTAGCTGTACTACCTGACACATTTTTCTCTGTACCTCAGGCCGACGCTCTAACCGCTGAGCCAAACCGGCCAGGGCCTGACACATTTTTAATAATTATGTTCTTTTGTTACCTCATCTTCACAATGGAGATCCAATGATCATTATCACTTTAGAAGGTAGTGAGCATGAAATGAAATGAAACGTGAAGCCCTTAGAATAGTGAGTAAATGCTCACTAAATGTTGTGAACATTGTTATTTGAGTCTAGCTTTCCTTTTTAGTTTCATTATGGTTACATGAAATTTCTCACTCTTTTAGCCTTTCTGTAGTATTGTCCTAATCATTTTGTATCTGATGAATCTGTTTACATTATTGTAAATAACTATGTCATCATATGGGGACTTATAATTTAAAAATACTGATGGACATAAAATGTCTATTAGAGTTTTAATAAGAGTTTAGTCTACTTTTCTGTCTTATACATTCCAGTGCCTTATTCCTCTGTGTGTGGTCTGTGCACCAGCAGCTACATGGATCACCTGGTAGCTTGTCAGAGACAGTATCTCGGTGGCATTTCAGACTTTCTGCACCAGACTCTGCATTGCGGCAAAACCCCAGGCCATCCATGTTACAGTTTGAGAAGCAACACTCTGTTGCACATTTCAGTCCACCAGTGACCAGTACAAGGCAGAAGAGCTCGTTCAACCTCTCTCCAGTCTGTCTCAAATGCTGCAGGCTTGTGGTTCCCTGATATGAGGACAGAGGAAGGAAGGGGAGAACGGCGGTGCACACTCTAAGTGGGGAGGAAAGGAGAGAGCGTCCAAGGGAATGTGAAGTCCTTGGCACCGTCTCTCCAAGCCCTCAGGCTCTCTTATTTGCAGTACCTCTTCTTTACCTGGGCCAAACTCAGGAAAATGAGATATTTTAGCCATTCGCACTACTTTTTGTCATATTGTAGAGTGTTGAAGTGGCTGTGCAGCTGCACGGTAGTAGTTTCACTTGCAGTATAAATTTCATTTATTTTTTTTTAACTTTCAGTCTTTCCTGGTACTATCATAGATACAAGTACATCATATTTTTCAATATATACCTAAATTAATAAAATTACATTTTAACACCATAAAGAATTTGGAAGATAAATATATACTTGTCCATAATCATTTCACCAGTCTTAAACATTGCTGATATTTTGATGAAGTTCTATCCAGGTTTTTTTTTTTGATATATACCCCTTTGAGGAATTTCTAAGAATACTTTTAAAACCATATTTTGAGAATAATCAGTGAAAGAGTACCATTCCAGAAAGTGTATGAGGACTTTTGGAGGCAAATATCACACATATCATTTGAACCTAACTGTGCCCTGTAAATCCATACAGAACAATAAAAGAACTGAAGCTGTAGTCTTGACCCAGAGATAGTGCTGTTTAGTTTTCACCAGGTCAAGAAGTTTGACCTGATGCTGCTGATTGCTTTATGATTTATTCAAAAATTGTACATACATACATGCATCTAACACACATATAAACCTACATTCTAGCTATTATAGCTATTGTGATATGAGAGTAATTTCTTTACCAGTTAGTTTTTCTCAGAGTTAAATCTTAACTAGGACAAATGGCTGTCCCAGTTTCCTTGGACTTCTCAATTCCGATGACATCAAGGTATATAACAAAAAACGTAGATACTAGCAATAACATCTTTAAGCAAACGTTTTCTCAAAGTCATTATAAGATTAAAATATATATATATATATATCTTTTAAGGTATGTCTTGAATGTGGAGAAGATTACTGTTCAGGATGCTTTGCTAAAATTCACCAGAAGGGGGCACTGAAGCTCCATAGAACAACACTTTTGCAGGTATGACTTTAAAATGCCTTACTGGTAGTGTATTTATAGAATGTTTCAACACAAAGACATTTAAAACATGCTTAATTATCTAGAATTTAAGGTGATTTACATTAATTTCTAAAGTTTTATTATGTACAGTCTTTACATATATCTTAAAATTATTTTACTGAATACTAATCTGGATTCTATTTTGCTATTTAAACTGTATTTTAACATAGTTCCTGAAACACTTAGCTTGATTAGAACTTTTAGATTTGCATTCTATGTGTGAACTTGACATTTAAAAATTAGACAATATTTTTAATCTATTGTTTTAAGTGAATGCATGACTTAAGTATTATTTCTACCTACTTTATAAATAGAAATCTCATGTTTGCTTTTTTATGTTTAGTTTTAAAAATTATTCTTTTATTTGTCCTCACCCATTATTATTTAAATGAGCTTATCTCTCAGGTTTCTACTTTTCCTCCTACATATTGGAACCTTTTATTTATTTTCATGTAATCATTGTTTTTTGAAATGCCTAAACTCAAACCATATCAGATGGTCTTAAAATACTAATACTTAAGCAACAAATAGGGTTAAATATAAATATAAATTTAAAAAAAATTAAGCAACAAAAATATATATAGATATATATAGATATAACATGATACCATTTATATTTAATGATGCTTTGATTTTCATAGATTTCATTCCTTTGACAGTAATTTATTCAACAAATATTCATTGAGTACCTCAGGAAGCAGTATCTATGGTAGATAATGACCTTCACTGGGATAATGAATATCACTGGGATCCTGCAATTGAACTGGAGATAATAATGAGAACCAAGGACCTTGTGTAATGGGTTAAGGATTTTTATTATCTTAGAGGCAAAGGAATCTAAATATAATTAGATCTGTGTTTAGAAAGCTCACTGGTAGATTTCAATTTTTACATGTTACTTTAATATACATATTAGTAGCTCTAAAGACTCAAGCCATGATAACCACAAAACCTTACTCGTATCAATATTTACCAAAGTTGGTTACTTTCAAGTGGCTACTTAGTGTTTAGAGCCTCCTGGCAGAAATGATGGAGGGAACGAGGAAAGCAAAACGACAACTGCCAGCTGTCACTGTCCCTCAGGATGGTACAATTGAACCATCATGAGATAAACGTTGATGTATATAAAAGTGAGTATAATTGTTAACACAGAAAGAGTATAGACTTTAACTAAAGCCACTCCACTTCAAGGGGGAAGACTCTAATTGCCCTGCTGTGAGTTTATAGTAGGAATTTTCCACTCAGTGATTTATTCAGCACTTTTGCTGTGCTGTCACTCAGTGAACGCAGGTACCTGCTGGCTGGTGTGGGAGATACAGTGAGACTGGCTCCTCCCCCAACTCCAGGATTGGATACTCGAGATGTATCCAGGTCTGATTCTCTTCTCTCCCTCTCTGTCCACACACACACACACACACACACACACACACACACACACAGTATATTTTTGCCTGTTCTAAACTCTGTTAAATAATTAATTATTTGCAAAACAAAGTGTAAATGCATTCCTCTCTGGGCAGGCAGCTGTTTAGAGAACCTAGAGGGGCAGAAGGCTCACTTTCCCAGAGCTTCACCAATAAGACAGAAATATAAGGATGGCGGAGGCGGGGTTCAAAGTTCCCTTAAAAAAGAATTATTATAATTCATAAGATTTTAGCATCCAGGTGATGTATATATCCTAAAAATTCATAAATTTGTTACTTATAAATATTAGTTAATATTATATTTAAGAAAACAAAATAGCGCCCTGGCCAGTTTGGCTCAGCGGTTAGAGCGTCGGCCTGCGGTCCGGAGAGGCCCGGGTTCGGTTCCCGCTAAGGGCACGTACTTCGGTTGCAGTTTGTCCCCGGCCCTGGTTGGTTGTGCGGGTGGCAGCCACTCGATGTGTCCCTTCACGTCGATGTTTCTCACTCTCTCTCCCTTCCTCTCTCTCCCTCCCACTCTATCTGTACAAAAAATGGAAAAATATCCTCCGGTGAGGATTAAAAAAAAAAAAAAAGAAAGAAAACAAAATAGAGCACTTACAATATATATAAACAACTGAGTCCTGGCATGTTTTACCTACTCGTCAGTGGGAATAATGCTTCGTTCTTATGCCACAAGTCTGTGTTCATTGCCCTGTTGTTGTCCTTCCGAGTCTACTGATGAGAACACTGGTTTGGTGACAGCCCCGAGGGTCTGGAAGTTCAGTTACCCAGGCAGACTCTTTGGTGGCCATTGCAGTTAAGTCTTTGTTTAACTAACCAGAATTTCAAAAACAGAATGCTGGGATACCCCGAAGGTAGATGAAGAACTCGTGTATAGGCATCACTGGCAAGAATATTTAAGAAACAGCTTTCTTGAGATATGACTTATATACCATGCAATTGATTCATTTAAATTGTGCAAGTCAAAGGATTTTAGTAGTTTCATAGATATGTGCAACTCGCAGCACAATTAATTGTAGAACATTTTTATCATCTCAAAAAGAAACCCTTTTGCTACTTCCATCTCCTCTATTTCTTTTCTCCGATTCCCTGGCAACCACTAATCTGTTTTCTGCCTTTGTAGGTTAGCCTATTCTAGACATTTAATGTAAATGGAATCAGACTTGTGGCATAAGAACGAAGCATTATTCCCACTGACGAGTAGGTAAAACATGCCAGGACTCAGTTGTTTATATATATTGTAAGTGCTCTATTTTGTTTTGGTCTTTTTATGTCTGGCTTTTTTTTTTTTTTTTTTTTTTTACTTAGTGTAATATTTTTAGGTTTCATCCATGTAGTGGCATGTATCAGTACTTTATTTTTATGACCAAATAACATTCCGTTGTATGGTCGGTTATAGCACATTTTGTCTGTCCATTCATTATTTGATGGATGCTTAGGTTTCCGCCTTTTGGCTACTGTGAACGATGTTGCTATAAACAATCTTTAGCGGGTTTTGTGTGGATATATGTCTTTTTTTCTCTTAGCCGTATCTCTAGTAGTGGGTCATATGGTAACTTTATCTTTAATTGTTTGAGGAACTGCCTGATGTTTTTCTAAGTGGCCGGTCTGTTTTCACCAGCGGCTGAGAGCTGACTTCTCTGTGTCCTAGCTAGCGCTCCTTACCTGTCTTTCCGATTCTAGCATCCTAGTAGGCACAAAGTAGTATCTCGTGGTAGTTTTAATTTGCATTTCTCTAAAGACTAATGATGTCAAGCATCTTTTCATGTGCTAATTGGCCACGTGTGTATTTTCTTCGGAGCAGTGTTGCCAAGACTTTTTGAAAAGACCTGGGTATGGGACTGTTTATCAGCCTGCACGTCAGTGAAACTCCACATGTGGGGATGAACTTTTGGATTTGAGTACTAAGAACCGCAAGGGGAAGGGAGATGACATTTGAAAGGGGTAGGGGAAGGGGGAGGAGCGTTTCTGTTACTATCCGTGAAGGACGTGGTGGTTTAGGGACCTAGCGAGTGGCAGGAGAGAGGAGAGGATTGATGTGGGGCAAGGTCAGTGCAGAGGGCCCCGATCCACGTCCAAGGGAAACGAGGGGCTTTCTGTGCCGTTTATGTTGAGATAAAATTCAGGTATGCAAGCTCAGAAACTCACAGGGTGGTTCTGTGGGTCGGATTAAATAACAACAAATATAAAAATATTCTGCTCATAGCAGGTGCTCCATATTTGGTTTTATTAGTCAGGATACATTGTTAGTGGAAATTCAGTACACTACCTACACCATCTACATTTAGAAACTAGAAAACAAAGTAATATTAATGATAATGAGTTTCAAATATTAATGAAATGATTACTTTTGGTTTTAGAGTTATTTTCCAAAATACTATGGATATATATATATATATATGTATATATATATATATATATGAAAGCTTTTGTTGAAAAACAGTGAAGTAAAGTATTAGGGCTCTGTTTATTAGAGTATATTTAAAAATACAGACTTTCTCCTTATCCAAATGGAGAATAACAGAATCTCGGTTTTGGAGGGGACTGTTCAGATCATTGGTCTAACCACGTCTGAACCTTTAATCAGTCACATTGATGCTGGAGAGAGGAGGAGCCTTTATACTCTGCAGGTGCTACTTATGTTATCTTACAGATTTATCTTGTAGTCTGACAAATTTCACAATTGTTTTATTTACTATATTTTATGTTCATTGGATTTTATAGGATAAAAATCAACCAATTGTGATGTAACAGCATTATTATATATAAAAACTAAATATGACCAATTATTGTCACTGAGTTTATTCTGCTCTGCCTAAAAATCTGTCATTCGAAGCATTGCATGTAAAATAATTTGTATGCAGCTCAAATAATTACTCATGCAGCTCAAATATGAGTAATTGCTAAAAGTAGCTAACATGTAATATTAGTTAAAAATAATAGTGAGTACTAGCTAAGATAATCAAAATTGTGCATAGTTATATGTCATCAAAAGTGCACATAGCAAGCAGATTGCAGGTGTGAATTTCCTGCGTTATTTTCTTGTTGCTATTCTGACTCACTTTTAAGATTGCTCTCTAAATAGAATTTTTTAATGTAATAAAAACCGAAAGGCACAATTATTTATACTGAGATCACATTTTATTATTTTTCTTGATACCAAGAGATTGAAACATTTTTGACAAATGTTGCCTTTTGAGCTATTATGTTTATATGTTATATTGCCTTATTTTAAAATATTTTAACTGCTTAGCTTTATTTAATTATTTCTACATGTTACTTTATGATAGCACTAAATATTGAGTCCAGATTAGTTTTACTTGATGTTTAGTAGCTGTAGAATAGTAAGTAAACTGCATTCATGTCAGGGACATGTGCCCAGGTCCTTGTTTGTTTGTTTTATCTCTTTATGTGTCAAGGAGGAATATCAGTACATAAATCTTTGATTAATGAAGCCCGTGGTTTCCGATAGACCTTTATAAGAAAGGTACATCTGAGGGTCCTTCAAGTTGTACTGAAAATTATTGTCAAATG